ACTATGCTGGGATTTTAACATTATTGGCATTGTTTTTTAAAGTGAAAGAGCCAGAATGAACCTCAGGAAACACTTGCATCTGCATCTGAATTTCTCCAACCTTTAAAAGGCAGTTTTATGGTCTGGGAGCTGTTGCAGAGGTAAAAATCAAAGCAAAAACACCAAAACAAGAAAAACTCCAAAAAGTAAAGCTCTCATTTGTAATTACAAGAACAAAGAAAACTCCAGATAATTTTGAATGAAGCTATGTCTATGTTCTATAATGCTAATTTATAGAGAAAGCCCTAATGGCATTTTGTCCATCACTAAAATTATTGTTCAATATTTGAAATTCTCTAACAGAATGGTTTGACTTGAACAGAGGAGAAATGCTCACATTTTCCCAGGTTAAATTAAATTTTTGTTGAAGTCAAATATGTATTCTTGACAGCCAGGTGAAATCCATCTTTCAATGGTGTCATTGTGCTATGGTAAGATTAATAAAAAGATTTTCGACTTTTCAATCATCATGTCAGAAGAAGATGGGCACCTGTCTAGGGAAGAGAAAGGACTAGTTTGGAAACTGATCTGACCATAGTAAATCAGAGATTTACTCTTTTATCCTCCTTTATCCTCTGAAAATTATTTCCCAGCATTTGTTTTGCTGCTTCTAATTAAGAAGATAAATGTGACAATATTTCTAGGGACTGACCAAGAAATGTGTTGTCATTAATGCTTTTCCCCAGTTCCCACCCTGAGAACAAAGGTGAACGAGGCCACTGCTCTATTGTAGGGATGATGTATTTCAAAAGCTGGACTCCTTCCACAATGTTATTAAAGTTCTTTGAAGTGTTGTTACTAAGAAAAAATGTCAAAAGAACTCAATGTTGTTTATTGTTTCTCAAATCCACTGCTATTTCACGTTGTACCTAAGTGAACCAGTCCATCTTATTTTGGAACCCACTGGCATAGTAAAGTGCTATAGCACGTGCACATAATAGATATTAGTAGACACAGGAAAAGAAGGCTTGATTCCAAACTTTAGTGAATCTGAAAAGGAAACCAGGGATTTTAAAAAAATAATAGTCTATAAAGAAAAAGCAAATCCCTAAGTCATATTTTAGGAAGATGTTAGGTAGGCTTGGTATTTCATTAAAATTATTAAAGCTATGCTGTCCAGTGCTTTCTTCTCGAAGGCTCTAAGTGAGGAGAACAGATAGAAGGAAGGTCACAAGTGCAGAAGAACAAGAACAATAATAGTGGTAGAAGTAATAGTAACCAACATTTATTCAGTGATGGACGCTGGGGCTGTAGATAGAAAAATGCTACAGGGATTGTCATTTAATTTTCACAAATGGTGTTTGAGGTAGGCAGCCTAAGCTGTCAGAGAATTACTTTAACTTAGTCCTGATAATAGGATGAGCTCTTCATGGTTGAAAAGTCAGAGTCCCCTCTGCTTCTCTTTGAAATGCACCTGAATTCACTGAATCAAAGAGATTACAAAGTTTCATGACCAAATGACTTCCTATAAATTTACACATGTTAAAGATGACTTGTAAGGAGTAAAAATAGTAATTATTCATCTAGGTTTCCTACTTTCCAGATGAATTCATCTGAGGCTCAGATTAGAGGGACTTGGCTAAAATCACAGTTGTAGAGACACCCCTCCCCTAGGCTGCTGCCACTTTCCCCACACACCATCAGCCTCCAGCACAGAGAAGGAAGCTCTGTGCCACTCCTCCACTTTCTAAGAGCCCCATTAACAAACACAGCTCCCTCCACACAACAAGGCTTTGGAGTCTATGTCAATATTAGGTTTATATGACTAGATGAGAACCCCCAAACTGCACATCGGATTGCAACAAATTTCTTCTTAAATTCACCATAATGCCTCCAAAGATTTAGGTGATTGATAAACTTTCAAATTCTCACAACAACAGTTAGATAAGATGCACAACACAAATTAAAATACATTCATAATTCACCATTATTTCCCAGTGCTGAATCTGTTCTTTTTTAATAACGAACTAATTCATGTATATGTAATGCTTGATATGTGAAAAGAAAAGATGATGAAAAGAAGTTGAGCTTTTAAGGAAAGATAAAAAACACAGGAATGTCATCTGGGAGGAAAAGAAAAGAGAGAGAGAGAGAGAGAGAGAGAGAGAGAGAGAAGACTATATAAGTAACGGATGATTATTTAGAAGATGCAAAGGGAGCCATATAATGGGACTCAAAGCTTGGTCGGTCCATCTGCAAGGGTCCCTTCTGACCTCAAAACTCTGTTAAATTGAAGCCTGCCACCAATTACTGCATCAGATGTCTCTCAGTGACATTCTCCCTTCTGGTAACCAACCCTTAAGTCTTTGTAACTCATTATGCACAATCAAGATGCAAATTCTCTGGAACTAGGACAATGGCTTCCTGTTTAATTCATATATCACCAAATTGCTCATAATCATGTTCTACCTCTAGTCATATTGTCAACCAATGACTGATGACACAAAATGCCAAAGATCATGATTTAGCAAAAGCATTACAATTCATTCTGCAAGTAATTTACTGTCATTCAGCTGCATGATTAGCTCTCGGTTTTCTTTCTTCTTTCTTGTTTTTGGACCACAGGAGTCGTGGTTCATTGGTATGAAGTGCATAGCCAAAATAGTTAAATTATCACTAAAGCCTTCATTTTTAGACAAAGGAATAACCTAAACTATTTAAAAATAGTACTTTCTTATTAAGACCCAGTAAAAAAAAAAATAGAAACTTCAGACAACATGGAGTTCCTTATTAAAAAGAAGAGCTATTTTGGGGAAAATATGAATATCAAGGTCAAATTTATTAACAGAGTCATAATTTTTAACCTTCATTTTTCCTTCTTCTTTCCATGTGTTCAGAAAATACAAATTTAGAATTTGGAAACGCAGTAATTAAAAAATGTTATTCATCTGGCTGAGACTTCATGCCCTAACTTTATTGCCCAGTTCCAATCTGGTCCAACAGTGGTTTCCCAAATGTCCCACTGTGGCAAACCCAGGTGAACAAACAGAAAGGTAAAAATAAGGATGAGAGGATTACTATCCTTATTCTAATTACAAATCCTGCCCATTGCTTTCTTTTTAAGCTGTCACTGCCATGTTTAAGTTATAACTGCATCTTCTCAATGAGCACAGTGCCTTATTACTGGAATTGGCAGGGGGCCTTGACATTTGAGTCATCATTTCATTATGCCTATTCTTTACCCTGGTATACAAATTAAATAGAAATACAAGCCAGATGAAATATAGGGAGAAAAATCTGAAGTACTCACTTTAAACTGAATTAATTTTTCTCAAATCTACAAAATGTATAGGCCAATTAACATGGATAATAACATATTCCACTTCAGGCACATTTTCAAAAATATTAATTTCGATTTCAAAGGCCAAAACTGCTCAAACCCTTCTAGCCAAACACTTCACTTCTGTAAAACAGAACCAACAGCTTTAATATTCTCTAAATTTAAAAGATAGAATAATTCCAATTTTAAATCAACTATAAGTATGGGCAAAAACACATATTTAACAAGTTTCCTCTTTTCTAAACAGTTTCAAAAATGAATAGCCATCACTGAACATACAAATATATATAAAATGTGCACATGTGAAAAATATTACTTAAAACATACGCAATCACATAGAAAAAAAACCAATTCATTCAGACTAAAATAACCAAATGTGCCAAGCTGGAATTTCAGATTTATTCTTAGACATTTTGAAATCACTGAATTTAAGTGATGAAAAATGATAAATCACAGGACCCAGTCACCCTGAATAAATGGGCATCCTTTCCTATTTCTAAGCATTTTGTTGAAAACTTTTCCATTGAATTTCAAAATTATAAAAATCGGTTCTAAAATGAACACTATATAAAATCCTCAAAAATGTCTTTGGCTCTGCTTTCAGGTTAGTCTCTCGTTTACTTATTATGGCAGGTGTTCCAGAATATGTGATTATTCATTCATTGAGTTTTTAATCATCTCTTCCTTTAGCCCAGAGCAGCCTGTTTATTTCAAAAAGCCACAGCTTTCCCCAAAACGCTTGGGAACAAGCCGAATTGCCTATTAAGAACTTTATTTTCCTCATATAAAATACTGAAAATCTCTACTGGAAGCTGAACACATGTACATTCAAATGTCTACTCAGAAGAATATCATCTATATTACTTATTATTATATTTAAAAATACTGTATTTTCTTTACATTTTATTATTTTAATGTTGATTTCTCCTAAAAGAATTTTTTTTTACCTAAGGTAATATGTTCGTGTAAACTAATATAAGATTCAGCTTTTAGCTTTTCATTTCTTTGTAATTTATTACCCAGATTTTCCAAAAAGGGGTTCAAAGAAATTCACAATAATTCCTCGTGTTCACTGAGTTCTCCAAGCAGTGAGCATGTTATAAAGGAAGGAGTCTGTTTCAATACTAAAATGTATTTAGAAAAGAACCCCTGAGATTGTCACTTAATTTTCCAACTTTTAGAAAACGTATTATTCTGCAAACTGGGACAAAAATAGGATGTGAACCAGATGTTCCTAGATATGAAGTTTAGAGCAGAACACAGTCATAGCAGAGCTAGCTTTTCACCCATATTTATTTTAGGAGGAGGCAAGTGGGCCCCAGTGTGGGATTCAGTCCTACTATTTCTCTTGTAGTTTGACTTCAACGGGTGGAAATATTCATGGGTTTACAGTATCAGGTTTCTAGCGAGTCCTATCATTTTTGTAATTACTATGGCTGGTATTAATAAGCGTCTTCTTTTTACACACTGAAATAAATTAATGGAAAAGGCAGACACTATGCAAAATGGCTGGGAATAAGGCCAAATCTTTTCACATACATCCAGGGACCAGTGATTTCCTAAATGGCACTTTGAGCTCTCTTGCCTAAATAATTACAAGTACAGCCAGCATGTAATTTACTGAAATAATTATGCACTCCTTTCAGTTCCCATCACCCAGCTCAAGCCCCTGGCCATTTACCTTGTCTTTATTTTCAGTGCCAGAAGCCTCGGGCTTGGTCCTGATCACAAATGGGGTGGACAGCCGCAGGAGGACCCTCTCAAAGGTGGCATTCACCCTGGGAGACACTATCTCGAAGCAGTCCTCGAACTTGAGCACTTTGTGAGTGTCACACCTCAGCTGCTTCCGGAGGCCCTCCCCCAGCTGCAGGACTGACATGTGGGGGTCAAACATCAAGTGGAAAGGGAAGGCTCTGCAGAAGGTGCTGATGCTGATTCTGAGGTCCGCAGGGACATGGGAGGTGCCCTGTGCAAGGTTCTTTGTGATGGTGGTATTTTCACATTCTTTGATGAGGAAGGTAAGACAGCTACAATTGCCTGGGTTCGAGCCATCGGAGCACAGTTTCTCACTGGCAACCTGTTCCACTTGCAGGTCCAGCCGGTAGATCTTCTTGCCAGCGGCCTTAATCATCCCTGGCATAGCAAACCCCACGACATGGTGAGGGTGGAAGTAGTGGAGCACTAGAGTTCCTTCGGGGAGCTCTTTGCATAGGAATGATGGTGACTCCAGAGTGGCCTGTTTTCCAAAAGAAGTTCTAATGTGTTCCAACAAAGCATCAAAGCCATTAAAAAAGTCCTGCAACGTGCCACCCACAGCTCGAAGGACTCTCTCATTCTCATCAAAGCATATATTAAAGAACTCCTCTCCAAATCTTTCTTGAATTTCCTCAAACTTCAAGCCTAGAGGTAAATGGGAAGGAGATGTTAGGGAAGTAACATAAAATCATCATATTTATAGCTTTTAAAAATGCTTATCAAATGAGGTAACTAGTGAGTGAGGTAAGAGAGATACTTCCCTTTGACCCACATATTCCCAAAGAGATTAATTCATTTTGAATCAGAGAAAGCAAATTTCAATTCACCTTCTAGAAGTTTCTAAGGTGTTAGTGAGCATAAACTTCTTTTAATATTTCTGTTTGTTTGTTTTTAAATAGACTTTATTTTTTAGAGCAGTTTTAGATTCACAGCAAAATTGAGGAAAAAGTAAGGATATTTTCCACAGAACCCTCTCCCAGCAAACACACAATCTCACCCTTACCCCAATATCAGTCATCATGCACTATGGTGGTACATTTTTTACAATCAATCACCTTACAATGACACAGAATCATCTCCCAGAGTGGGTAGTTAACATGAGGGTTGACTCCTATTGTTGTACATCCTTGGATTTGGACAAATGCGTTACTATATGTGTCCACCATTATAACATCATACAAAGTAGTTTTGCTGCTGTAGAAATCCTCTGTTCTCTGCTTTTTCATGCCCCACCCCTCTCAACTCCCATAGCACAAACTTTCTAAATGATGCTCATCTAGCCGCTCATTTTTCTTTTCAATATCCTACTGCATTTGCTATAATCAACACAAATAAGATTTTCTTAATGATTTCCCTCTTAGTTAAAGCAACTTTTTAGAAGCAACTATAACACTGTTTCTCTATTACACCCATCTACTATTACTATCTTACTTATCAAAATTCATTTGTTAAGTGAGAAATACCAACCAGAGAGGGATTTATGGATACCTGAATGGGGAAAGGCATCAGATTATCTAGTGTCAACAGAAGGACTTAAGTGAGACCCCAGTGAGAGAAAGACCAAACAAGGAAGTAAAATGATAGAACTATGGGCTGATTTGCATTGTTTCACTCACAAAAATGAGACTAGCCAAGGGTGGAGTAGGCATCTCACCAGAAAGAGTTAAAACCCTTTGTTTTCTCCATTCATACTTCCACATGCCATGGCAAAAGGAACTCTATATTATAGCAATGGAATTATAACAAAAAATACATACATACATACACACATACAATACATTATGTAGAAATTTGAGCCAGTCACATGTGATCAAGTTAGATCCACCCTTAAGGATGATCTGAGGAAAAATATGGAGAGAATTTATGGTCCAAAGAGGAAGGATACAGCACATATATAAGAACTGAATGTGTGTGCTGAAGGAAACCTCTACGTGGAGTCATTCTACTACTTATCCTTTGACTTTGGCTGAAATCAATACATGTAAGTTTACGTATTCATATTTTCTTGCCTCATCTACTCCATCTTATAAGGAGATCCTGAAGATAAGGCAAGATTGGGAAAAGACAGTGGTCATCTTTCTAGTGTCCTATTAAAGTACAGAGCAGTCTTGGTTTGCTATTCCTATCATTATAGGAAGAGAACCGGAGGGTTATCCCCATGCATGAATGAGGGATGAAATGTCAACAACACTATTGAAAAATACAGCCAAAACAAATCAAATATTTTTTGTGAGAGTACTATAGAGTATAAACATTGTGATAGCCAAATGAAGAAGTCAGTTTGACAAAAAAGTTCTTAACATCAATGTGAAATGAAAAGCAGTAGAAAATCTAAGCAAAAAAGAGTCCTTTTATTAAGAAAAATTTCATAGTAATTTTAGTTTCATAGATCTGACATTCAAATCAAGCTGAGAAAAATCCCTTACCAAGATAAAAGCACGATAGCGCATCTTACACAGTCATGGTACAAGACTGCCCTTCAGCATATACTGCTTTCACTAACAATAATGCCAGCCCAAACTGATAGTAATAGCATTTATCTGTCCAGTTCTCCAGCATGGAAGAAAAAAAGCAAAGTGGATGACACTCACTGCAGTTTGGTCCCTGTTCCAACTACTCCATTGAAATTGCTTTTACAAAGGAGTAAGCCAATACATATTGCTTGATCCCTACCATAGTTAACCGTGTTTGTTGTTTTTCTTTAATTTTTTATGAAGTTTTTTTTTTAAGATTTTATTTATTTATTTATTCATGAGAGACAGAGAGAGAGAGAAAGAGAGGGGCAGAGACATAGGCAGAGGGAGAAACAGGCTCAACACAAGGAGCCCGATGCGGGACTCGATCCCAGGACTCTGGGATCACACCCTGTGCCAAAGGCAGACACTCAACCACTGAGCCACCCAGGCATCCCTGTTGTTTTTCTTTTAATTTGACTCTACTAATCATCTCATTCTCCTCAATCTCCCTTCTCTCTTGGCTTCTAAAAACCATGCTTTCTTAGTTTGATTACTGTCTGAATATTCCTTCACTAAAGTGTCTTCCTATGCCATATCCCTGTATCACCATCACTGCATAACTAAAAGGTCCTAATACAAATTCAATGTCTATCCCTTCAAAGACAATGTTCTTGATTTCTATTAAGTTTTTAAATTACAAAAGTCTAACTAAAACTAAATTCAAAATAAGTAAAAATTCCTATAAGCTGACTATACTTGATGGACTACAGAACTTCATATGCCACTAAAATGTCTTATGAATTGCTTCTATCCTTTAAAGGGTTCTACCTTAAAAGGACTCAGGGTCTTTACGCACAGAAAATAAAAAGATAATTTCTTCTAACTTGCTTTTTTTTTCCCATAACATTGAAAATGCCCTTGGAGTTATTAAATAAAGAACATAGACATAAGCATAATACAGCAAGTTTATATTCTGTTTCCACAGAATCCCCCAAAATCATCCAGAAAATAACAAACAAATTCACCAGGGGCACAAAATAAAAACTAGTCTGTCAGTACAGCATACCATCAGCTAAAAACACATGCTGTCTTACAAAGCACTTCTGTTCTTTAAGATACAAGGTTGTTAATTCTCATGATGACACTGAGGCCTCTCAGGATGCTACACTGACTTGTATCAATAAAGTAAAGCTAAAATATTTTCAATATTATACTCAAATACTATATATAGTAATTCTATAAAATCACAATACTTGATTAATAAAGATTTTTGTTCACATAATTATTAAACTGTACAAGATCATGAAAGGAGAAAAAAATTATTTGAGTTGGAAACATGTAAGAACTAGGAAAAGATCACTGTAACTTTTGCAAATATGCTATAATCAATAGCCAAGACACATTTTAAATCTTATATCAAAATTTAGGAAGCACAGAGAAAGTAGTTTAGCACAGACAACTGGTGAAGGCTCTACCTATGACTGATGCAAACCCCCTACTTACAGTAAATCACTTGAAACATATAGACAATGCTCATCTTCTCATAACAGAAGACACTATGACAGCTTGACATTTGGGTCTATAAGAATACATTATTCTAAAGGCAAAGCTTATAATAAATCTGCTTTCATTAACAAGTAAGTTAGAATTTTAAATTACTGTTAATTCACCTCTTTAGAGAAATGAATAGCCTAAATGTGACATCCTTTAACTGAAAATATAATAATCTATTCATTGATGATATGACTCTTCTGTCCCTCATCTGCTCTTCCTACTTCACACTATGTCTTAAGAACAATGTGTCTTAAGGACATTATCCCACTTATGTCTGCATACCCATCTCTAGCATCATGCCTGGCACATAGATACTAAGACTTCATTTGTAGAAACCAAGCTTTTGGGATTCCTGGGTGGCTCAGCGGTTGAGCGTCTGCCTTCAGCTCAGGGCCTTATCCCAGGATCTGGGATCAAATCCCACATTGGGCTCTCTGCAGGGAGCCTGCTTCTCTCTCTCTCTTTCTCTCTCTCTCTCTCTCCCTCCCTCCCTCCCTCCCTCCCTCCCTCCCTCCCTCTCTCTCTCTCTTTCTCTCTGTGTCTCATGAATAAATAAATCTTAAAAAAAGAAACTAAGCTTTCAACTAAGTATCTGTTTGATAATATAATCAAGCTTTTAAAGCCATAGTTGTGCCATGTTTAAGGGTACCTAGATAACCAGACACATTCTTTTCTGATATGAGACTCCACAGATAATTTTATCACAATGTGATTAGACTGTAACAGAGGCACACAGGAATATCTATGAAGGTATAGAGAAAAGACTGTCTGACTCTCTCCTCAGGGAGATAACGTCTGAAGAGAGACTTGAAGAAAAAGTGAGTGTTCAAAAGCCTAACAAGGAAGGAATAATCACACTAATGGACGGACAGTAATGGAAAACAGATGAACCAAGGAAGCAGAAGAGTCTGGCATGGTCAAGGGAGGGCAAAGAGAATGGATAACATCCGGGCAACAGGAATGAGTGTATCAGCTGTTAACTTGGGCAATGCAGAGGCTGGACTTAAGGGTGCCAAGACCAGAGTCAAAGACACCAGCCAGAGAGATGCTGCAATGTCTTTAAAAGATTATATTGGCTGAATTAGAGAAGTCCCAGTGAGAAGAGTGTTAAGCAACGTGCCAAATATTTTCATAGATCACCTTACACTTTAAAAATTCACATCAGGTAGGTATTTTTAATTGTTCTCATTTTACAAGTGAAAAATGTTAAGAAATTTGTCCAAGTTCACACAACCATAAGGAGCAAAGTTAGGTCTCAAGGTGAAGTCTGTCTAATACTACATCTTGTGAAATAAGCATAGTATCAAAAGAAGCAAAACATCTGGGGCGGTGGGGAATGCATGTCTTGCTCAATGCTATGTGATCAATGCCTAACATTTAACCTGATATTTAGTAGGTACTCAGTAAATATTAGCTGGATATTGAATGAATTAATGTATCACTAAAGCCATCAGAAAGGAGCTAGGAGGAGAAGTCAACAGTTAATCAAATGCTATAGCAAAGCCAAGTAATGTCAGGACAGAAAAACTGTAAATTGGATCGGTCAGAACTTTGGGGATCTTTGCAGCAATTTCAGTGGGTAGAATACTGGGTATAAGAGGTTAAGGGGTTTGTGGCAGGTAAAGAAATAGTTCT